CTGAATGCCGTTTTAACACACACCGACATCTTCACAAATATATGGCACACATTCAAACTCAGGGTGCCCCTTTCAAAATCTCAGTCTGGCTCACACTAGCAGCAATTACCCTGAATTAAATGGTCGACTCGCAGGCGCCCAGCTCACCCGGTCCGGTGTTTGTTTAAGGGGGGATCTCATGCGAGGAAGTGAATGGAGGAAGGTGGGCGTGTTGGTGACCTGGTTTTGACCCATTCCGTGTCTTGTCATGTCACATTTCAGGCTTTCGGGGTGTGAAATGATTGTTCCAAGCCGAACCATGTGTCATACTGCACCAACTCACACTAATTTTTCTCTCTGAAGCACAGTTGGAGATTGGACTGGAGAAGACACTGAATGTGAGTAGCCTGGCTCCATGTATGACGAAGCGATTCCTGGTGTTAAACAGTAATAGATTATCAATGATACATCGCAGACAGTAAATACATATAGTTATATATAGAGGCAGAATAGTATCTAGTAAGGAGTTATTTTGTGCAGCAGTCTATAAAAGTCAGTTGCTCGCTTAGTCTCCACCTCTCCCTGTCTCCAACAGTTTTGCCTCTCTCTCTCCGGATCTCTCTAGAATTCTGCTTCTCTCTATTTTCTCCTCTTTCTCTCATCCAATAATTTAGAACATAGAACATTACAGTGCAGTACAGGCCCTTCAGCCCTCGATGTTGCGCCGACCTGTGAAACTAATCTGAAGCCCATCTAACCTAAACTATTCCATTATGATCCATATGTTTAGCCAATGACCATTTAAATGCCCTTAAAGTTGGCGAGTCTACTACTTTTGCAGGCAGGGCATTCCAGGCCCTTACTACTGTCTGAGTAAAAAACCTACCTCTGACATCTGTCCTATATCTATCACCCCTCAATTTAAAGCTATGTCCCCTCGTGCTAGCCATCACCATCTGAGGAAAAAGACTCCCACTGTCCACCCTATCTAATCCTCTGATCATCAGCGTTTGCCTCTCTCTGATCCCCTCGCTCTCTTTCTCTGGCTCTGTTCCTTCCCTCTTTTTTGTGTGTGTGTTCCCTGTCTATCTCTCCGCCTCCCGCCTCTTTTCTCTCTCTCTGTTCCCTTCCTTTCTCTCTCTCTCCCCCACTGTTTCTCTTCAAGTCCCGCGTTCTCCGTCTCTCCCTCTATCTTTCAAACACTCGCTTCTATCCACGACAGTCTCTCTGTCTCTGTTTATTGTACTGTCTTTCGCTGTATCTCTCTGTGTGTATCTCCCTCTCACTGTCCCTCTCTCTCCCTTGCCTGTTCTGTGTGTGTCTCTCTTTCTCTCTCTCTCTCTTTGCTTAAGCTTCTGTCTATCTCCTCTGTGTACCTCCTCGCTTTGATTCCCCTGTTTCTTTTGCGGTACCTGACTCTTCCTGACGCTCGCTTTCCGTGCTCCACGCCTCTCTCTCTATCGCTTCACCTCTGTCCCCATTAACACACCTCTATATCTTTGTTTCTGTCGTGCTTAGTTTCTCTTTGCGAACTCAGCATCTCTGCCTCTTTTTAAAAAATGTTCTCCTCTGTCCGAACTTTCTCTCTTGTGGCTTAATCTTCTGCATTTCACTGACTCCGCTTCATCCCTCTGAATCGTTCAACCTGTCCCGTTCTAACTTCATCGGATGACAGTCTCCGGACCTGGAACGTTAAATCTTCTTTCTTCAGGCAAGTGCTGCCAGACCTGCTGAGTTTGCCAGCAATTTCTGTTTTTGTTTTGGCCATCTCGCTCTTTCTGCCCCACTCGCTGTGTCTCTCTCTCTACACCTCTTGCTGGCTCTCACTTTCATCCTTTTGATGTACTTTTTGTCAGTTGCTTCTCCATTCATCCCTGCCCCCTTTGTCTTTCATAGAGGCAAAGACAATAGGTGCAGGAGTAGGCCATTCGGCCCTTCTAGCCTGCACCACCATTCAATACTATCAATATTATCATTCAATACAATCTCAGTATCCCATTTCCGCTTTCTCTCCATACCCCTCGATCCCTTTATCCGCAAGGACCACGTCCAGCACGGTCTTGAACATATCTAACGAACTGTCCCCAAACAGCTTCCTGTGGTATAGAATTCCACAGGTTCACAACTTTCTTGAGCGAAGAATTTCTTCCTCATCTCAGTTCTGGCTTGCTCTTTATTCTTAGATTTGTCTTTCTCACCAACTCTCTCTCTGCAAACTCACCCCTTCTCTCTCTGATTCCTGTAACTCCGGTCCTTTCTTTCATCCTATATCTGTCATTCTCTCTCACTGTGTGTGTGTGTGTGTGTGTGTGTGTGTGTGTGTGCGTCTTCCCTCTGCCGTAAGGAGACCGGGATTGAACTGAACTCGAGAAGCAGACAGCAGACAGCAGACAGCAAATATTAATAATCACCGCTTTAATTTGCTTTGGATTTTTTTTTTAAAGTTAACAGTTTCACCTGTTCGTTTAATACAAAAAAATCCCAGAAGGGAAACATTTATATTCTCAGTGGACGGCTCTAGATTTGGAAATATCCCTGAAATGTTGCAATTGCCTGCGTATCACCCAGGCGAGCTCAGTCTCTATTACTGAGCCTACAGCGAGTTCTTGGTGTTTCTCGAATCTGTGTCACCCAGGGACGGGTCAATATTTGATAGAGAATGTCTGCACAACTAATTCTCGCTCGCCTTAGCCCCCGGCCTTGAGGATGATGGGTCAGTAATAAATGTGTGTTAGGAGGTGAATTGGATGGGAGAGATTGGAAAGCGAGGAAGGAGAGGAGGGAAAGGATTCCTTGGTGGTCTAGTGGTCTTTTACCGCCGCGGCCCGGGTTCGATTCCCGGCCAGGGAGTAGAAATTCTGTTGTACTAATTAGGGCGGCACGGTGGCACCAGGGACCCGGGTTCAATTCCAGCCTCGGGCGACTCTCTGTGTGGAGTCTGCACATTCTCCCCGTGTCTGCGTAGGTTCCCTCCGGGTGCTCCGGTTTCCTCCCACAGTCCAAAGATGTGCAGGGTCGGTCAATTGGCCACGCTAAGTTGCTCTGTCGTGTTCGGGGATGCGTAGATGAGTTGGTTTATAGGGGGGATGGGTCTGGGTGGGATGCTCTGAGGGTCAGTGTGGACTTGTTGGGCTGAAGGGCCTTTTTCAACACTGTAGGGATCCTATGAGAAGGGAGGCAAAATGTGATGCCGTTAAGAAGCGAGCGGTAGGCAGAATGTGAGGAACAAAGCAGAGAGAGAATAGGAAAAAGTAGGGTGCTCTCTCATTAGAGTGACAACTGGTGACAGTTTAACCTGAAGGTCACAGGGGATGAGATTGAGAAATAGAATTTTTCAGCCTGGTGGGTGTGAATTGGCTATCACTACATCCAGACCAGCCTCCAGCTAACTGCCTCTGACAGAGTCCAAGCTCACGTTGGTGAAAGCATTATATGTTCCTGCAAACAGCACACATTAGTCTAAGAGGCGGCAAGTCTTAATGTCATTTATGTTCAGTAATGACTCACACCCTGTGCCACACCAAATATCCAAGGAGTGGAGATCAGTCCATCTCTGGGAGAAGGTGCAATCTTCATGTTATGAGGTGGAAGATAAGTCTCCGGTGCACCTCATGTGCTCAACCTCTGCTCGAATTTCCCCTCTGTCAGTGTCTCTTTTTCACACAGTCCTCAGTGTGTTTTACAGTCAGACCATCTGTCCTTTCGGGTCGGTCAAAATAATGAGAAAGCCTCTCTTGGAAAGACACAGGAACGAGGCTTTGAGCCGAAAGAGTCACTGGGCTAGTCATTCAGAACCCCAGGCTGTTGTTCCTTTACTTCCGGACGTAAGTTCGAGCCCCTCCGAATGAAAGTTTAATTCAACAACAACAATTCTGTCATCAAAAGTAAGCGATTAACATTGTCGATGTGGCAATGCCGCATCTGGTTGACTGATGCCCTTCGGGGACGGAAATCTGGCCTCTCTGTGACTCCAGACCCACAGCAATGTGGTTGACTCTCAAAGAACAAAGAACAAAGAAAATTACAGCACAGGAACAGGCCCTTCGGCCCTCCAAGCCTGCGCCGATCCAGATCCTCTATCTAAACCTGTCGCCTATTTTCCAAGGATCTGTATCCCTCTGCTCCCTACCCATTCATGTATCTGTCTAGATACATCATAAATGACGCTATCGTGCCCGCCTCTACCACCTCCGCTGACAACGCGTTCCAGGCGCCCACCACCCTCTGCGTAAAGAACTTTCCACTCATATCTCCCTTAAACTTTTCCACTCTCACCTTGAAATCGTGACCCCTAGTAATTGAGTCCCCCACTCTGGGAAAAAGCTTCTTGCTATCCACCCTGTCTATACCTCTCATGATTTTGTAGACCTCAATCAGGTCCCCCCTCAACCTCCGTCTTTCTAATGTAAATAATCCTAATCTACTCAACCTCTCTTCATAGCTAGGGCCCTCCACACCAGGCAACATGCTGGTGAACCTCCTCTGCACCCTCTCCAAAGCATCCACATCCTTTTGGTAATGTGGCGACCAGAACTATACTCAGTAAATAGTCATTCAAGAGACTCTCCTCTGCAACTGCCCTCTAGGCAGTTGGGGATGAGCAATAAATGCTGGTCTAGCCCTCATCCCACGAAATAATAAAACAAATGCATGAATACTCTACGGAGGCAGTGAGTTCGATATTCACCCAAAAGAGATCTTTAATAATGTTCCTTTGGTACTAGAGGTAAAATCATTAGAAAGACTATTAGTTATGACCTTATCGCACAAGTTGGGGATGGTGTGGTATAGAATAAAACAAAACTTTTCCATGTCTTGCACAACCATCAAACCCTCAGTCTTAGCCCTTCTTAAAAAAAGTAAACAATCTAAAGTCCATTTAGATAATCTCAGTTCCCCTCACTGAATTTTCGCTCTCTACTGCATAATGCACAGCTCAAAGCCCCATTCCCCCCCACCCCCAACCATTTCTCTCCATCTCAGTCCCCTTCTATCTCCCTCCTTCCCCCAAGCTGTGGGTCTCAAGGTTCGACGTGGGTAGCCCAAGTGGCGAGCTGAACGGTGCAATGCGGCGACCTGCCCTTCTGACTGGAGTAGTCGGTGGTGGTGGTACTCGCTCCACTAGGATGGCTGTCCGAGGCGGCGGAGAGCCGACTGAGATGAAACGGCTTGAGGCAGGGCAGGAGGAGCCTCAACACGGCTTTCCGGATGGAGCTGTCATGCATCCAGTAGATAACCGGGTTGACGCAGCTATTGGCGAAAGCCAACACGGCGCTGGCTTCCTGACCGAGTACCACCGCATTCTGGAAGCTGCACGACTCAAAACCCACCCCCCAACGGTGGAGCAAGGCCAGGAAGCGGAAAACATTGAAAGGAAGCCAGGAGAGGAGGAAGACCAAGACCACCATGAAGGCCACCCTTACTGACTTCCTCAGTTTGATGTCCTGCTTCTTTCTTCTCCTGTACTGGAGGCACAGCTTCTTAGTGATGCAGCAGTAGCAGATCAGAATGATGAGCATTGGGAATAGGAAGGTGAGGAGTAGGTAGGCCAGAGAGACTGCAGGACTGTGGGAAGCCTGATCCTCGGTGCAGTAGGACGCCCCACCCCTTGTGTCGATGATACGGTTGTAAAGGATGGGGAGTCCCAACAGGAATGATGCTGACCAAATCAAGAGGCAAGCCAACGCTGCGCAAGTTTTGGAGCGCACCCTGCGGGACCGGAGAGGGTATACGATGGCCAGGTAACGGTCGAGGCTTATGCAGCTCAGGAACAACACGCTGGAGTAGGCGTTCACCGCCACCAAGTAGGCACTCAGTCGGCACAGCAAGAGGCCGCTCCTCCACCACTTGCCCCAAGCCTCCGTGTCCACCCAGAGAGGTAAGGTGATCAGGAAGACCAAGTCGGCCAACGCCAGGTTGATGATGAAGACGTCGACCTGCCTCTTGAGCCGGCATGTCAAGCCGATGGCCGAGATGAGCAAGCCGTTGCCCAGAAAGCCCACGGCGAAGATGACGCTGTAGACCAGGGGGAAGAAGACCCGAGCATGGGGAATCGGGGCAGGCTCACAAGGGTCGGCCTCGCTCAACCCCGTGGTGTAAAACACGTAGTAATCCTGATTGTAATTGTAATCCGTCGTGTTATTCATGATCGGCTAATCGTTTCTTTCTTTTGTTTTGAACCGTTCTCACTCCCCCTCCCCCAGCTTCTTGTGCTTGTCAGAATTATTTGTATCTCACCAGGCGTTTGGTTACCCATCAGATCATAGCTGTCTCAGATCTCATTTCCTGACCACTACCAGCCCACCTACAACCAATCCCTCCTCTCCTCGACCACAACTTATTATTTTCGTTTCTTCGTGATAAACTCTGTTGCACAAAAAGCTCCAACAGCAATTTTTATTTTGTAAAATAATCGGAATGGGCACTCCTGTGGCACACCTACCCCCGGACCGGAGGCTCAGTTCAAGCCCCACCTATTCAGGTTGATTAGAGAAAAAAAACATTAATTTAAGAAAAATCTCCAATATACAAAAAAGATGTAAAAGAAAAAATTGGAATGGCCTCTCTCTTGTGGCACAGTGTAACGTCTGTAAGAAGAAACCTCGAACAATGCCCAGCTTCCCCATTCGCTCATCACAATCCCCACTCCCCTGGATCTTTTCTCTGTCTTCTCCAAAGATACTTCTATCTTGCTCTGTCTGCACCGTCATTCTCTTCCAGCTAATTTCCTCACGGTCGCTCTATTCTTTGCTCTCTGTCTTTCTCTCTCTCTTCATTCCTCCCATCTCCCTCCCTCTCTCTCATTCTCTCCCTTTCTTTCTCTACCCCACATTCCTTTTCTCTCTCTTTCTGTCTTTGCCCCATTCCCGTGCTCTCACACTCACTCTCCCTTTCTCTCTCCTGTTCTCTCTATCCCCTTTCTCTCTCTCTCCCATCTCTGTCGCTGTCATTGCCTCATTTTCTCTCTTTCTGACTCATCTCCCTCTCCCTCCTTTCTTCTTCTTCTTTCTCCCCCTTTCTCATTCTCTCACACTCACCCTTTCTCTCTCTCCCCTCCCTCGGACTGTCTCTTTGTCTCTGTTGTCCATGCTTCTCCCTCCCTCTATCTCCCTTCTCACTCTCTCTCCCTCTCTCTCTTTTCTCCTCATCTCCATCTATCTCCTTTCTATTTCTCTCCCTTTCTCCATCTCTTCTCCTCCTCTCCCCATCACTTTTTTTTAATCTCTCTCACTTTCTCTATTTCTCCCCTTCCCTCTCCCCCACCCCCCCCCCCATTCCACCCTCTTTCTCTCTCCTTATCTCTCACTTTCTACCTGAAAATCACTACTGGCTTGAATAACTGCAACTCCAACAACACTCAAAACTACCATCCAGCAGAAAGTAGCCCACTTGACTGGCAGCCCATCTAACACTCGTAAGTATCTATTCCCACTCACACTGATGCATAAAGGTCCCCATTGTCCCACCCTCCACCTCCTGGGAAGACAAGACATGCATGAGATCACTGTCAGCTGTAAGTTCCCTTCCAAGCCACAGACCCTCCTAAATTGGAATTATATCATCAATCCTTTACTGCAATTGAATGAAAAATCCAGGAACACTCTTCATAATTGCACTGTGGGTGAATCTCCACCATCTGGTCTGCACAAATTCAAGGAAGTAGCTTATCATCAAGTTCTCAAAAGCAGTAACAGGCATTAAATGCTGGGGTATCCAGTGACACTCTGACCTGGTAACCAGATGAGAAAACATCTAACTTCCCTTATAATTCCCAACTCCCTGACTCTGTCCATCACAGAATAGTTACAGTGCACATGGAGGCCATTTGGCCAATTGTCTCTCTGAGGATATTAACATAGCGCTCATCACTTGCCATTTCTCTATAACCCTGCACAGTGCATTTTTCTATTGAAATAACCATCTTATGCCCTTTGGATGCCTCCATCTCTCTTTATGAACCTCACTTCCGTTTGCGTTCCCAGTGAAGCTGCTTCTGTCACCTTTCTGAGCAGCACAGTTCCCATCACAATAATTTACAGTAGAACAATCAGCTCTTCGCATCCTGCTGCACCCATTACATACTTATACAAATGATCTAATCGTTACTGCCATGGGAAACTGTTGACCCTGATTCGTTCCATCAACGTTTTGAATATCTCTATTCATAAGACCATAAGAAATAGGAATAGTACATTCGGTCACTCAAGTTTGCTCTACCATCCAATAAGACCTTGGCTGATACCACAATCCTCACACCCAACCTCCTTTCTCCATAACCCTTGATTCCTGTAGTGATCTACAGTCTTATCTATCTCAACCCTACATATACATAAGGACTCTAATCCCACAGAGCTCTCTGTAACAAGGAGTTCCAAAGTTTCTCAATTCTTTGAGAGAAGAATTTCCTCCTCATTTCAGTCTTAAATTAGTGCCCCTTTATTCTGAGACTGTACCCTCTGGTCCTAGAATCTCCCATAAAGGGAAACATCCTCAGCTTTTACACTGTCCAGCCCATTAAGAATCCCAAATGCTTCAATGAGATTGTCTCCCATTCTTCTAAACTCCAGTGAATACAGTCCCAACCTGTTCAACCTTTGGTCATAAGACAACCCCTCCATACTGGGGTTCATCCTTATGAATCTTCTCAGAACTGCCTCCAATGAAACAATATCTTTCCTTAAATATAGGGACCAAAACTGCTCACAGTGATTCAGATGTGGTCTCAATAGCACCTTGTACAGTTGCAGTAAGACTTTCCTACTCTTGTATTCCAATCTCCTTGAAATAAATTTTCCCCGCTCACAATTGAACTGAAACCCTCCGTGACTTTTTGTAGTAAACAAACTGGTGAAACTATTAACTTTCTTTTTACAAAATCTAAAGTAAATTTTCCAAAACAAGTTACGGTCAGGCCCATGGTGATTATTAACTTTTGCTGTCCGGTGTGCAGGCTTCTTGTGTTCAGTTCATTCCTAGTCTCCTTATGGAATGGAAGGGGGGAAGAGATAGGAAGAACAATGTCGAAGACACACACATACACACACACACACGCGCGCACACACACACACACACAAAGAGTGACAGAGATAGAAAGAAGAGGAGGAACTGAGTGACAGGAATCACACAGAGAGAAGGAGAGAGAGAGAGAGAGAAAGGGTGAGGGTTGGTGATATCACAGATAGGCAGAGAGGGTGATAAAGTAACAGAAAGACAAAGGGTTCAGGTATGGGTCCATTAGCCTTTCTGATTACCTGCTGTCTTAACCCTCTCCATTTTAAGTAGCATATTCCCAACATCTCCTGCCTTTCCAAGTAATCACAGCCGTCTATTCCTATAAGTATACTGGATATAAGATCAAAACTTCTTGGCTTAAAGTTAGCCACCCTACCTTCTCTTAATATACTGTTAACACAGGCCAAACATGATTAGAGACCCCCAGGTAGAACAAAATGTCATCTCCACCTAGGATGTGGAGAAGCTGGTGTTGGACTCAGGTGAACAAGGTCAGAAGTCACACGACACCAGGTTATAGTCCAACAGGTATATTTGAAAACATAAGCTTTTGGAGTGCTTCTCCTTTGTCAGTTGAAGTGATGAGGGAGCAACACTCTGAAAGCTTGTGATTTAAAATAAACCTGTTGGACTATAATCTGGTGCAGTGTGACTTCTGACTTTATCTTCACTTAGAACCTGCTGCCTGAAATGTCAGTGGGAACACAGTTTGTTGTTTCTTTCTGAAAGGGGAATTGTATATTAAAAAAAAATTGAAGGAGAAAATTTGCAGGTCTTGGGGAAAGAATTAGGTAGCAGCATTAAATGGATGCCACTCTCAAACAGTGGTCAGGTGTGCAATGGGCCAAATGGCCTCCTTTAGTGCCATTTTATTTTTCTAACAAGAAAATGGAAAAGAATAAGCTAAACATGGCAGACACTAACTATGCAAAAAGCAGAAGGAAAATGCACTCGATGCATTAACCTACAATTAATTACCGCACAGGAAATTCGCACAGAAACAAACACGTTTCACCCATAAACAGGCATGAGCCTGATACAGAACCAACAATAACGTGGCACACTCATGAAATTAATACGCGTTGAAACAGGGTGAGAAGCAAACAAGAATGCTGTAAATTAATGGAAAATGCACATGTAAATATTAATAACTACACTAGATTTATTTCGTATTCAGCATTTCTGCACTATATCAGAAATAAAGAAATTACATGACAAGTGATTTTGACTGTTTGTTTAAAGCTGCATTCTTCAAGATAATGGGGAAGGAGGCCATTCAGCCATTTTGTGCTGAATGCTTGAAAATGCTAATTAGTCCTATTCCTCTCCTCTTAACCCATAATCCTGTAAATGTTTGGTGTGAAATATAGTATTATAATTGCTGTTATTAATAAAGTATTGTTAAATTCACTCAGCAACATTTTGGATAATGCATTCTACAGCACAACTACTCACTGTATAAAAGCATTTCTCCTACCTTCCTTACTGGCTATGTTTTGTAGACCGAGGTCCTGCACAGACTCAATGGGCCGAAGGACTTTTTTCTGTGCTGTAAACCTCTATGACTCAATAACTGGCTGTTTTGCTGATACTCTTTAATCTATGTCCCTCTGGTCATCAAACCTCCTTAATTACATTATCAAGGTTTCTCCTTAATTACATTATCAAATCTTTTCAGGATTCTGAAATGTCCTCTACACTTCTCTGCTTTCAAGAGACCATTCCAGACTCCTCTGTCCCTCCACATGAACCAAAGTCCCACATCTTTTGTGCCATCCTTTGAAATCATCTCTCCAAAGCCTTGAATCCAAATAATATTAAAAATAATTTATTTAAGAGTAAGTAACGCTTACAATAATATGTTAAGAAATTGTGTAATGCAATTGTATTAAACATCGTTAATGAGGGAAAATGTCCTGATGTGCTTTACAGGAAAATTAATAAAATTAAATTTGACACTGAGCTATACAAGGAAGGCCAGCATGTGTCTACAAAGTTGGTCAAATGTTTGGAAGGAAAGGAGGAGAGAGAGAGAGAGAGAGAGAGAGATAGAAAAGGTTGGTAACTCCAACTGTAATGACCTAAAAGCCTGGTCAGCAATGGTGGAGCAAAGGAAACCAGAGAAAGCACAACAAGCTGGAATTGGAGGAATGCAGAATTCTCGAATGGCTGTGGGGCTGAAGGTTATGCCTTCAGGGAGTCCTT